TAATACATATTAGAAAAAAGTAGTATCAGGTATGGCTAAAAATATGAACTCTGGAGTCAAACTGACTTCTAGATCTACCACTTAGTCAAATTGATGTTGTTGTTTAAGTGCCGTCCAGTCGGTTCCAAAGCAAAGAGACCCTGTATAGGGTTTCTGAGGAGTGGCAGGTAAATTTGAACTTCTCACCTTGTGATTAAAATCAACCCAGTTAAAATCAGCCTTGAGTGCTTATCCTACAGCACCACACCCAGACTCACAAGTCTATCAAGTAGGGCAAATTATTTAACCTCTCTGTCCTAGCATTTCCTCATCTATAAATGAAAATAAAAATAGTCCCTATTCATTGGGTTGTTGAGAGAATTAGTTACCAGAGCTCCTAATGATGACATATGGTAAATTCATTATGATGATTATTAATACGTCTATCCATTTCATGGATGATAAAATTTACAATTGCCAAAATTGTGTTCGTTTAAAAAAGTAAAGGGATTCAAAGAAAAATGATAAGTAAGTATAGCTAGATGAGTGATAACCCAGATATGGCAAAATGAATAAAAATCATTTATAATGAAGTTTGGGAAATGTTCTAATATTGTATCACGCACATTTAACTTCTTAAATATTTCTCTAATCCAGACCCTCCTCTCTAACCCTATTACCTCTGCCTTCTATCACTTACCATATAAGTCATATCAAGACTTCTTACGAAGTCCTGGTGTGGCACTGCAGGATAAAGACCTCAAGGTCAGTTTGAACCTCAAGGTGATGGGTTTTTTGTCCCCCCTCAAAAATACTTTCTACTCTGCTATCTAGGTGTTCTTTCAGAACTGTAAATTGTAACTCATATATTTCCCTGCTTAAAATCTTTCATTGTTATTGTTATGTGCCGTGGAATTGGTTCCGACTCATACAGACCCTGCACAGGGTTTCTGAGGCTGCAATCTCCCTCGGAAAAGCTAGTAGTTTAAAACTGCTGACTGTGAGATTAGCAGCCTGATTCATAACCACTACGCTACCAGAGCCCTTTAAAAATCTTTCATTAGTAACCCCCCTATTCTTAGGATGAAGTCCTGACTTCACAAGGCCCCACTACCCAGCTAATCTCTGCCTGTGCAAGCCAGCCATTGTTGTTGTTGTTATTAAGTACCATCGATTTAATTCTGATTCATAGCGACCTGTATAAGGTTTCCAGGATTTCAACTTCCGACCTTGCAAATAGCGACCCTATGCTTATCCTATAGCACCACAGCAGGCCCGTCCAGCCATATCTGGCACTATTTCAGCCCCATGCTTGACCCTTAAAGGATCTCTGGTAGCGTAGTGGTTACAAAGTGGGCTGTTAACCTCAGGGTCAGCAGTTCAAAACTACCAGCTGTTCCACGGGAAAAAGATGAAGTTTTCTGCTCCCATAAATACATGCAGCCTCGGAAAGTCTGTACAGGGTTGCTATGAGTCAGAACTGACTCCACGGCATATAACAACAACAACAACTTGACCCTTAAGGAGCATCAAACCTCTAACCACCTAAAGCACATCACACACACTTGCCTCTACATTGACTCATGCTCAGCCCCTCCTTGGAGAAACTGCTTCATTCAGACTGGATACTTTACTTCCTGGCCAACACTTCCCCCCTCCACCACTACCCCTGCCACTGGTATGGGGTCCTTCTTTGTTATCCCATTTCCCCAATGCCCTATCACTGTACTTCCATGCTGTTGTATAAGTATTCTTTTGTTTCTGACTTCCTTGTAAGAGTGTAAGTGAGGTCAGGCCCTGTCTGTTCATTTTAGCATTTCTGGGACTCAGCACAGTGCTGGGCACTGAATGGGTAGTTGGTAGTACATGTTCTTTATTTTGCAGTTGTCTGTGTGTGTTCATAAGTACTATGAATTAACATTTTAAAAAATAATTTTAAATGTTATGTAGCTTCTGATTATCTCTGTAATACTTCCCATTTATCTCTTCTTAACAAATGTGCGTATATATGGAAAAAGAGGTAAATAATTTTATTCTAAAGTATCCAAAGATTAGTATGACTTGCTTTTTGTTGTTGTTAAATGCTGCCAAATTGGTTCTAATAGCAATCCTGTATATGGTTTCCATAGCTATAAATCTTTGCAGGAGCAGAAAGCCTCATCTTTCTCCCAAGGAGCAAGCTGGTAGGCTTATGGTTCACAGTCCAGTTATCCTACAGAACCACTGTGCTTACGACTTGCTTAGTAAGAATTATTTTTCAAACATTCCAGTTTAGTCTCTACCTTCTTTTTTTAGTATTTACCTTCCTATCAGATCAATTTGGAGTCTTGGTATGGCGGTGTGGGTTAATGCACTAGACTGCAAAGTCAGTTTGAACCACAAGGTTGGCAATTCAAGATCACCAGCTGCTCCTTGGAAACCATATACAGGGTTGCTATGCATTGGAACCAACTCAACGGTACTTATCAGCAACAATAACAACATAAGATCAATTTAAGAAATCTATTTCTGAAGACAGATTAGTATTCATTTCTTTTCTCTTGAAATTATTGTTTATTTTCCAAACATAGCTATTCGCTCTTTATTACAATTTCAAGCACAAAACAATGAACACTAATGTCAGTTCAGTGTTAATGGTTTGAAGTTCTGCTCTGTCATTTGGTGGTTTTGTTACCTTTTAGGGAAATCGAAATGAGGTAAAATTTTTGCAGTGGTCTTCAGTCATGAAAAAAAAAGACTCCAGAACAGTAAGCCTTCTCATAAACATGTACAATTTTTATATCATAACTTAGTAATAACCATTTTTAAAATTTCTGGGCCTATCAGTGTTCATTCATGAAATTATGCTTGTTACATTTTAGGTCCAGCGGGCAAAAATGTCATTGCAAAGCAGGTGAAAAATAACAAGTGTTGCCTTCAGGACAATAACGATAAATTGTCAGAATCAATAGATGATGATGGTGAAGATGACGCCATTGATGAAGATGATGGAAACAGTAGCCCGAATACTGTCCGTGCCCCATTAGAGTTAATGACGGAAGTAAGATTTTCTTGTGCATTGTACTTTAAGAGACCTAAAAATATTGAAATAACTAAACTGAATATAGCTTGAAGACTAAAAAAAAAAATAAAATGTGGTGTAAAGACCAAATTTTCCCATATACAGCTGTTTGCCTGGCTACTATCTTTCTTCTTTTGTCAGGACAGAGATGAAAGATGATTCTGGAAGTGACATACAGTAGTATTCTGTTAGACAGAGGCAGTAGTCAGAGAAGTTTTGGTATAAAACCTTTGAATGTCCTTTATTGAATACTTTGTACATATGAACACTATGTCTCAATTGTTGCTGGGAATATAGAGAGAAATAAGACATGTCTTTGCTTTGGAGAACTAACAGACACACATACATGGCAGCATCAAAAAGTTCATGGAAAAATTCCATTATCTTAGTATTTCATTTTCCCATGAATTTTTTGAAGCCTTTTTGTGTGTATGCAATGTAATACAATACAGTGATATACATGCTAGAAAAAGTCTTTATTATGTTCTCTGGGACCAGGGAGGATTAATTGGTTGATTGGGGTAAGAAGGAAGATTAGGAGCTAAATGAAGAGATATGAGTAGAGTCTTCGAAACTTGGAGGAAGATATAAGTGAAGGATTTCATCTGGTAGACAAGTAGAAAGGGTTTTTCTGGTATAGGAATGGCATGTACAAAGACACTGAAGCCTGGAACAGCCCACTAAAAATATCATACTTAAACTTCTACCTATCATTCTATGGAGAAGCAAACAGTTTTATCTCACTGATTGTAGTATCATAGCCTGCCTTTGACTAATATGTGGGGGTTTCAGAAGGTTCATGGAAAAATGGAATTAAAAGATAATGGAATTTTTCCATGAATATTTTGAAGCCTATTGTTAGGTGCCATCGAGTTGGTACCAACTCATAGTGACCTTATGCACAGCAGAACAAAACACTACCCAATCCTTTTATAAAGGTTAAAGCCTCACAATATGTTGCTATTCTTTTTGTTTTAAATGATCGTTTACGTATTAAACAGATTTTTTTAAATTAGAAAAGTCTTTTTATTTTACGCACTGGATAAGCACTAGACTGAAACACAAGGTCTGCAGTTCGAGCCCGCCAGCTACTCCACCAGAAAAAGATGAGGCTTTCTGCTCCTGCACAATGTAAAGTCTTGGGAGCCCTGTACAAGGTCACTGTGAGTCAGAACTGACTCAACAGCACTTAACAACAACACCACCATTGTGTTCCTCATACCTTTGTGTAGATCCAAACTTCCATCTAATAGAATTTTCCTTTTGCCTGGAAAATTTTCTGTGACTATTTTTTGTAAAGTCATAGTAATGGTGATGAATTCTCTCAGGTCTATTTGTCTGGAAAATACTTAAATTTATTTTCATTTATTGAAAATAAGGTTGTTAAGTGCCATGGAGTCAGCTTTGACTCTAGTGACCCTGTATAGAGTTTCTGAGACTTTAAATCTTTTGCAGGAGCAGAAAGCCTCTTCATTCTGCTTGTGCATTCCTTTCTTGGTGGTCCTAGGGTCCTCTTTTTCTGGACTGTAAGATTAACCACTCCCCTTTTTTTACAAAACTTCTTCCTTTACAATTGTGACAGTCGTGATTAGTCATAATAACAATTATTCACTATTGAATCTTACGAATCTTATCCCCATCTCTTTTCACCAGACCCATCTAGACAAGGTGACATTAATTCAGTGGGGACTCTTTCTTACCCCCCATACTCTTAAACTAAACTCCCTCT